GACCACTGTGTGTGGTACTTATTCCAGTTACGAAAAAAAAAAGTTTGTCCAGGTTTGAGTAAAATAACATACGGCAACCCTAGAGGCCTAGACTATATTGTATAGACAGTCGTCAATATAATTGTATAATATATTTATATATACATCGTGTGGTATACCTACAGGAAATAATATATTTTAGCAATTAATAATATCTAATTAAAATTGGAGTTGGACCAGTAAATCAGTAATATACGATGGGGTGACACTAAAATATTGTACTATTTAATAAGGCCCGCACTCGCTGGTACAAGCAGTCTTCCGCTGTAGTCGCATGAAACTCGGTAAGACCGCAAGTCGTAGGTAAGTTAGTGAGGTACAATTATTATCGTAACACGGGTCAAGTTTAATTTTGTATGTTTGTATTTTTGAACCTATGCTGCTTGTTTTCATTCCACCAAAATTGTTGCTATCGTTTGCAGACGTTCTACCTTTACGGCTCCGAGATATAATACCATTATGATCACATGAGATCTAAAAACAGAGGACTTAAAACGGAAAACGTATGGCCGTCGTACCTCAACATAAGTTAACAACACAGTTGGCCAAATTTAATTTTGGATTGCGGTCATTAGTTTGGAGCGTACCGCGCAGGTTTAACTGTTTAAGCGCGTGTCACATGACACACGTGATAGGTACGACGGTATAAACTATATTGTTGTAATTATATACTTGGAAGTAAGGCTGCGATTTTATAAAATTACAAAAAGTTCTGATGGATAGTAATAAGTTCATAACTGATTTTAACTGATTAGACGATAATAAATTATATTTTTTTTGTAAAATAATGAATGTCGTATTGTACGCGTGTATTACCATTTACCATCGATCTGTGGTTATACATAACAAAGTTAAAATTTTTCAATATTATGCGCACGACCGTCACGGTTATCGAAGCATTTATAAGATACATTTTTTATATAGTATTCACAGTTTCTGCGTTTTCTGACTATACTTTTATTGTGAGTGAAATATTGTTCACTTCGAGTAAGTCCTGTTTTTTTTCTGATTTAATTTTAAAACATTCCACACGACGACGGAAAAAATAAAATTGTTAAGTTATGTGTTCGTTTTATAATAGTTAATGTATGTTCGTTACAGTAAGTAGTGATCAAGTTCACGCAGTCATTTAATATCACAACGAATAAATGTCATAAATCATAATTTTTATTTGAAAAACCTCGGTGAACTTTTCAGTAATTTATGCATAAAGGCGAGTATCTGTATAAAATATATTAAAGTATATTTATCGATGTCAATTTCCTTGTGATAAGTACCTGACAATAAGATTTCACAACTATGAAATGACTCTGCTAAGAGGCACGTAACCCATATTATCATAGTTGTCGACGAGAAAAAAATGTGATGAATGTTCAATATGACGTCTCTTACTCACCGACGGTTTTGAAGTTGCCACCATAACCAAACACTTTCCAAACTCTGTTGGCTAACCAGACATAGGTGTAACAATTTACTATATAAATCAAAAATAAATCACTTTCGATCCATTCTCTGTGGTCTTCAATAGGTAACTTTTTGGTAGAGGTGGAAAAACTACAGACTTATTCTTGATTCGTCTGATAACACTGATAGATAACGGCTTCACGCAATGACCAACACGTATTTTATTTTTTGCATTGCGTGAATGTCTGAGAATTTTTTTTCTCCATCTGACTCGCTCGCGACGTAGGAAATATTACGTTCACAATAGTGATAATAGTTATAATAATTTCTAAAATTAAAGTGAAATGACAATTTATACCATTTTAAAGTACGATTATTATTCTGGGCACCTCATCGGCTTTTTATTATATTTTAATTTAAAAGTGAGTCATGAGTATTTTAAGATGTACAAAAAATTTACAATTTACAAAATAGTAAATACTCATTACGCGCTTGAAAATAATTAAAATATTATAATAAAAGAGATTCCCAAGATAAGAATCTCATCTTTAAATTGTATAAGAAATCATTTCACTCTAATTTTAGAAATTATTATAACCATAATCATTAATGTGGACTTAAAATTTACTATGTCTATAGTGGGTCTGAAAGTGAAAAAAATGTGGTGACATCCTCTTAAAAACAACAATATAAATTATAATTATATGTTTCAATAAAATAAGGGTAAGTGTAATCAAAAATACGAGAAAGTGCTGTCAATAACTGGTTAGCCTTGTATAATCTGGAACACATGGTGGCTTGATGATGATAAGCAATGCAGGTGTTCTATGAATAGTTTTTGCTGATTTTTCAATATAAATATTCTATTGTTAAGTTAATTAATCCATAACCTTGCTATAGATTATTGATAGAATGTAAATATTCCACCTTGCCTATATCAGTTTAGTTATAATTTATTTTTAGGTATAGTATAACTAGGAGTTTTGTAGTTATCACGAAGTTATAGTATTTAAGACATAAACAATTGAAATCATACAAGACCATATTATGCTGACAACAAATTTCGTAGGGGTAGGAAATCCAACAACTATTTAACAATATAGACACCGGATGACACTTATAATTTTAGGTTCAAAATATAAAAACTCTTTATTCTCGTTATTACTGCTTTAATGGAAATATAAAATTACTCTTAAGATGATGTCAGAGAAATATTTATTTTATCTCTCAGACCCACGTACAACGTAGATAAAAAGCATTCACGTAAAATCGTTTTTATGATTTTTGCGTAGTAACTGAGTAAAATCAGCTGTTAAAAAAACGATAGAGAATAATATTTTTGGGAGCTGGACACATTTTATTAAAATACAAATTCATTTTTTGTAAATTTAAATGGATATTAAATATGTTTAAAACAATATTTAGACAAATCGACAAACTCTTCAAAAATATTATTCTGTAACATTTCTACAATGGGCGACTTTACTCTAAGATTATGTAAAAACATAAAAATAAAAATGATTTTGTATGAATGAGTTTTGTTTATGACATGGGTGGGTTCAAGAGGGAAAAGTGAAAACAAACAAAGAGCTAACTAACATGCCCTTAAGAATAATTTTATATTTTTGGTAAAGCTGCAGTAATCAAGAGCATAAAGCGTTTTTATATTTTGAACGTTTAATTAACAAAATGTAAGTTTTCAGTGTACATCTGTACAAAAAAATGTTTGGATCTTTAGAGTCAATAAACAATATTCACCACTAAAATTTTTCTACTTTTGGAAAAATTCGAGAGGATTAGAATCCAAACATTCAATCCCCCGGGTACAGCCTTGAAATCATTTAAATATTTTAAAAGTATACCAACGTCTTAATATTTTTATTTTTTAAACATAATTAGTAATTAGTAAACATAACATAAAAATACAAGTATATATTATTTTTTAGTTGGTAGTTATTAACAAAATAGCTTAGAACATAGAGTTGAAACACATATCACATATTTTTTTAGATAAAATTACAATATTGATTGAGTTAACTAATATTTTCTATCACACGTGGGTTATGATTGATTCACATAGGTGAGCGGACGCAGCGAATGTTGTTTATAGCCGATGAATAATTATTTGATATGTTAATATGAGATGTATGGTAAATAAAATGAAAATGCTTTCCAAATTAAAAATCAAAAAATCCCTGTGCAGGCTATACCCGCCTACATAATGATGTGCCAGTATAAAAATCTGGGCGGGTTAGACTGCAGGTGTGATTGAGGAATGCTTTCAACACAATATAAATATGAGAGTCTTAAAATAATAGCAAATACGAGAAACTTGTGTACAATATAGCCGTTTGTATCCATAAATTAAATTTAAATTTTCTGTTTTTTGGCGCGAAAGCAAATGTCATAATATAACGTAACACTGCGTTTTAAATGTTTTTCGTGCAAAATACTGGTATGCATTATTGTACTTATTTGAATATTACACAGTAAATAATAATATTGTAGAATAAGTTTAACAGGCCAAGTAGTGACCAATTGTAGGTACCCATAATATTAAGAGGATATCAGCGCACTGTTGGTTTCATCTCTCTATTCCACGAGTGCAACTTATGTACAACATTTTTTTTTTATGTTTTTCAATAATCTTAAAGTAAATTCACTCATAACAAATTCGAGGGAATGCGACGTATCGATTTGTCTACTATTGTCTTAAAATTGTTTAAATTTACAATTTTTTTTTTTATTTCGAGTTTCGAATACAAGTCATATAATGATAACTAGGGCTGGGATTTCGATCCACTTTGCATTGTTTTTCAAAGCTTACTGTGCAATGCTCGTCTTGTCACAAATTTGTTTTATGTACATCATTTGAATGAGAATAAGAAAGTTTATTTTGCATTTTTTTTTCATTTTTTGGCGTTTTTTAGTTTTTAGGTCATTTTCTTAATTGTTTAGGGCATTTTAGAGTTTTTGGAGCATTTTTTGAGTTTTTGGAAGCCAAGTGTAAGAATTTGAAATTTTATTTTAAGATTTTAAGATTTTTACACCAACATGGTTTTTAAATAAAAATAACAGATTATAAGTAGGTACTCGTAATTCATATTATATTATCGGACAATCAACTTTTTTTTTAGATTTGTACTAAAACTATGTATTTACAGTTTACACTTGTAATAGATTTTTATAATGCATTTTTTAAAACTTTTTATTGTAATTTATACTAAAATCATTAGAAATAAAAAAATTTGTTGATCTTAAAAGCATTTTTTTTTTAAGGCATTTTCGGTATTTTTTAGGGCATTATTTGAGGTTTTTAGGTCATAAAAGCATTTTTTTTGGGGCATTAAAATCCCAGCCCTAATGATAACATATACAACCGATATGTCATGCATTCAAATATGTTATCCTCCATAATTTTGTTGTGACAGGTGATTTTACTCTAGTGTTACAAAAAAAAAAAAATCATAAAAACGATTTTGTGCGAAAGCGTTTTGTCTATGTTGCGCTTGAGTCCGAGAGAGAAAACTAATACTGCGCTGACATCCTCTTTAATCTTATATACCAAAGGTATTATACTGCATATATTCGTATATGTACCTATGATGGTGTATTATTTGAAGAAAAAAACTGTTGTTTTAAAACGCTAGCTAGTCGCCTCCACCGTCACCGCCGCCATCGCCGCCGCCGCCGCCGTAGTCACCTCCACCGTCGCCGCCGTAGTCACCTCCACCGTCGCATCCGCCGCCGTAACAGTCGCAACCTCCGCCGCCGTCATCTCCACCGCCGCCGCCGCCGTATTCATCTCTGTCGTCGTCGCCGTATTTACCTCCGTCGTCGCATCCTCCACCAAAACAATCGCAACCTCCGTCGCTGTCGCGACGGTCACCGTCGTAATAACCGCCACCGCCTCCGCTCCAATAACTGTCGTAATAAGCACCGCCGCTTCTACTAGTCTCGCGGCGAGTGTTGGTGTCGGGTTCGCAAAAATGTTTGCAGTCTGAGCAATTTTCGTGAAGACGTTTGCGAGGGGGGTAACTGCTATCGCCATAAGTACTATCCCTTTCTTCGGTACTACTTCCGCAGCCACACATGTCTCCGTGTATCGCTATACAACTAAAAGCAGTCTTCGATAACAATTGTATTTTATTTGCTGTCAAAAGGAAATGAGTTTTTTTTTTTTTAAATCTATGTTTTCAGTACCTATTTATTTCTTGATGGGGTGTAGCAAATATTTTTAATTCAGAATAAACTTTGTTTAATTTATTTTAGGATAAATATAAATATCCTAAACATTAGTTACAAAATGTAAGTGTTAAATAATAGTGCAAGTATTACGTTAAGCACTACAACTTATTCTAATTACCGATTATCTGATAATTTAATAACTTATTATTGTTCTATGTATCATATTATTCATATTTTTGAGTTTATTAAATATATGTATATGTATATATATATATTAAAATATATACCTACTAAATTTTATTCTAAACAAAAAAATAAGCCTGTATACTATTTATTATATGGCTGGACATTAACGAGTTAAAAAGTTAAAGTTAAGGTAAAAAGTTAATTATGGGTTTTAATCAACTTAACTATTAAATAACAATTTATTTTTAAATTAACGTAAAAATAACGAATTCATTTTTCATTTTAATAAGTAAGTTAAGTTAATTTATTGTGTTTCTGATTTTATAATATTTCACTCTTCGTTTAAAAAAATATTTACCGCGGATTGTTTTAAATTAAAAATTGTACATTTTTAAAATCTAACCTTCATGGAAATATTGTATAAAATATAAACGAAATAATCTATAATTCAGTTGCTGGTTAGTAAAAAATAAAGTAGGTACTCTAGAGTTGAATAAAAAAATTATTTTCTAACTTAACAGAGTTAACCAAAAATTAAATTAATCTTTAACTTTAAACTTTTCAGCGTTATTTCATATTAACTTAACTGAATCAAAAAAAACTCATTAACTTGCTCAGCCTTATAATACACACATCGAATAAATATTAAAATCAAGAGACTACTTACAATACAATTAGTGATTATGTGCACTTTTGCAGGATGGTGTATATATATTGACTTTTGAGGAATGGTATAATTGTTGAATGGTCACGGACTGACACTTCATACCAGCACATACATAATATTAGAATGCAACTGCATTCAATTATCTGCGTCCGTCGTGTTTATGACGTATGACGCTCCACTGCAGTTTAACACTGAATAAGACGGGTTTAGGATTACCGACTAGGCCTGCATTTTTTAAATACTTTGACTCGTGGGTAACGTGTTACCAACTACCAAAGTACCAACATATTATTTTACACCCAGGATACCGTGAACTGCGAACAAACCAGTTCTTTGTGACTTCATAAGACAAGGGTTCAAGAGTTCGAGACCATAGGCCTGCGAGTGAAATATTTTGACCGGTGAATAACGTGTTACCAACTAAACTAAACAACATAACAACATATTATTATTATGTTGCACACGTCGGGACACCTCGGGCTGTGTAGTAAACAATCGTTTGGAGCATATTCATTAATGACAAAGACTATGAAAAAAATAACCGAGTGCGCTATCTCGTTTAGCCGTTGTGTGACATTCGTTTTTCTTAAACTTACGATTTCAATAACATTTTGTGGAATAATAGGTAAGAAACCAGAAAAAAACCGGCCGAGGAAGAACAGTGCGGCCATGACCGACGTTTAACACATCGAATATTCATCTGTAATTGTTATGTCATAAGTGGGCATCTTCACGGATGCTGACCTGCAATGACCGAGAAATCGACAATGACGTGTTAGAAAAAGGTCCGTAGGTACTGTTTTCCTCCAATAATGAGATACAGGGAAACCTGAGAAAAACACTTCACTGTCCATTTCCTTAAAAAAAAAAAAATTAATTAATTAATTTTTATAATTTTTATTCACTTTCAAATTTCTTCCAATAAGGAATTAAGAATAAAAATAATGTTTATGTTTAACACGATTATAAATATACAGGATGTCCTGTAATGATATATCCATATTAATTATAAAGCGGAGTTCGCCGCCCAGTCTACCAATAAACTAAAAAAATATTTAAAAAAATGAAATTAATGAAAATAAAATTTTGAAAGGTCAAAATGCTCAGAAAAATAAAAAAGTTTATACTTAAAAAAAAAAACAATTAATTCAATTAAAAAATATAATATATGTAGTCCTTTCTCTTTGAGTCTAATAAAAAAAAAAACAGATTTCTGATATTTTATCACCTCAGGAGGTATCGCAATAGGTAAATTCTCGCGGGACACCCTGCACGTATAATAGTTATAATAATAAATAAACATTAAACAAAAAATTACAACGTAGCAATATATTTTTTATAATTTTATGACATTATAAATAGTGCTTGTTTAAAGGAAAGAAATACTAGACGGATGAATAATTATTTTACTTTTTGTTTGACTTTGAAATGTAATAATTCCATTGTTCAATGCTTCACGCCGTTTGTTTGCTCAGTAGTCTTTATATTTGTTACGAATATAATACTAATTCTTATTTTACATTAAATATCTGTTTGACTTTTTTTTTATAATATTGAGCCACATACTTATATATTTGGTTTTTTCTAAGACATGGTTAAATATTTTTATATTTAGTGGAAAACGAACATTATTTTAGCGGTTAGTCCAAAAAAATAAAACGATTAGGAGAAAATGTGACCCACCCCCAAAAAAATATGTTTTTTTCTCTGATCAGCGTACCTAAATACATATAGTAATAAATTATATGGGATGATTCACTAGGTTTGATCACTCTTTCATCACCATATTGTTTCCTTTAATTAAGCATTAATTACCATATAACAAATACCATATTTTAAATTACTTTGATTTGCTATGCCGTTCAACTATACAAGGAGTATCCACCTGTGTAAATACAAATTGTTTCCAATAAGAAACTTTCTTTTTACTTTAGAAATTATTAAACAACTGATTTATTTAAATGTTCATACATCCAAAAAAAATTCAAGCCAATAGTTTCTGAGTTATAAAAATAAATATCTAAAATATCTATTAATGATAATACAAATAGTCTTACAGAAATAAAAATAGATTTAATAGGCAATAGCCAATTGGCACTTAATAATTAACCATTATTTATTGTCTATTGAACGCATGTATTTTCTATACATAATAAACTGTTGTCATATTTTTAATAATTGCTATGAATATTAAATTTAAAAAAATATTTTTCAAACCTATTATTATTGTACTGTAAATTATTATGTTTATCTTTCTTTTGTACAAAAAAGATAAATGACTCGCAAACTTCTCGTTGAAAATAATGTCGAATGAACTACATTAGTAGTTTATGGGAGATAAGCTAATTATAATTTGACAAAAGCAGTTGGTAATCACACAGGACAATCCTTAAATTATACAAAAATCGAAGTATTTTAAATCTGTACATAATTACATAAAGTATATTTCAAAATTTTAAATACCAGAATTTGATTAAGTTAATTACAAAAGGAAAAAATGTAATAATTACTTTTATACATTGATACATAATAACATAATATACCTGATAAACATGGTCAAAAAGGTAATTTTTTTGCCACAGGTAAAATATTTAAAAGGCCACAAATGTTAATCACACAAACACGCCAAACCAAGTAAAGCTGCAGCTCGTCGGTGAACCACAAAAGCAATTATTTCATGCAGGCATTCTTCTACAGACTTGAAAGAAAAGACCATACACCACGCTACTCGATATTTTTCATCTTCGAGGAAAATCTATGAATCATAAATAATATGTTTTTGGTAATAAGTGCAAATAATGTGAGTTTGTTTAGTGCTTCAGCGGTCATTGATCCAATTTTTGGTAACACGGCCTTGGGCATGACCGTATGTTATAGCCTATATAACTACTATATAGGTATTTGCCTCTGGAGAGTATGTCCCTTACATTTCTTTAGCTTGGTAAGTGTAATAACTGTTTGATCTTTTGCTAGTGTAATTATTGTGTATTCGATATTTTGGCAGAAGCTTTCGACTAGTGTGGACCAGATCAAACAAGCGTGGATGAAAAAAAAAAATATTTTATATTATATCAAAGTAAGTTAATATTAAATATTACATTCAACTTGTTTGCTTACATCTCATATTTTATCATTAAATATAATACTCACCCATTTTCACTCAATATTTTCGATATCAGATTTTATTTTAAAAACAATCATATATTTTACTAACAATAAAAAAAAAAATGACATAAAAACATTCAAGGGTAGTTACTACTTACTAGTTAAGTTTCGTCATTATAAAATATTAACGATGGACACAACTTATTTATTTCCAACTTAATCTTACGTTCTACAAACAAAGACAATATTAGGGCTTTTTTTATTTATCATTACCTACTAATTAAATAATGATAATAAACAATTGTCTTTTGTGCTGGACTTGATGTGTTTTTTAGTTTCTAACTCGGTATCTGACGGGTACTACACTAATTTATCACAATAAACCCAAAATGTTGGGATTTTTTTATCTTACTTTATTAACTGCTGTTATATATACAACCAGGCGCATACCGTGTTTAAGCGAAGTTTTCACTTACCTACATATATTTTTAGAAGGGTTTTTGTTTTTAATTGCCCGTGTTCTCTCCATTTATCCACAACTGTTTCATTGTCAGCTTACAACGGTTCAGAATTGAGTAGTTTAGTATACTTGCATCGTATATAACAACAACGAACAATGCAATAACCTAACTTATAAAATACTATTATATTTCCATCAACCACGTTGTCTGTGACGCTATCAGAAATGGACATTTTCTAGTAAGGTAAATTGTCAAAAACGCACGCATTAACTACACGAAGTACTAATTAATTATTAATGATTCAATTAATAAAAAAATACGCTGTTAAAAATAAATCCATGAATTCACGTCACACATATTATTTTGACTTGTATATCATAATAAGATTATAATGTATAATAAAAATAGCGATTAGTATTTCCTTTAGAATTTAGATTATGTTCCTAAAATTATATAATATTACATTATACGAATAACAAAATATTTGATGTAAGTATATTAAAGAAGTTGAAATTTGTACGTAATAAATATTTGTTAATTTATATAATCAATCATGATAACCTTAAAAAATTTAAATATAATGTAACGTAGATAAAAAATGCTTAATGCATACTTTATTGTAGTATGTATTCATCGACTATAGATAACAGTTCATAGTAAATACTTATAATATTATTCTGAAAAATCGGCTTATTTCAGAGCTATAATGACGTATTGATGTGTATGGTTAATACTTTTGACTTTGATATCGCTTGCTTTTAAAATTTGATTTATCAATAAATGGGTTGTTTTGATTTTGCCTCGAATAAATACACGGGAATGACCAATGGACGTATCGTTTTGGTCCGACTCAGGTATCGATTAATATACCCATACATTTATAGCTGGTATAAAATTCCACTTCCTAATAATTTCGACGATTTTCTAAATATTATCAATAAACCTGGTGTCGCCATGGCGCTTTTTTTGCCAGCCGTACAGAACCATTCGCCCGCACTCGTTCAAACTCGTTAGGTCTTAACGCTTCACCACCCTCACCATCACGTTGCCAAACCACCTTTCACGATACAATGGAGGTTTGCGATTTTGTTCACGTCCCATTCAACTGTCCCGTGCTCATCAATTATTATAGAAATGCATTGTTTGCTTTCTTATTCGGCGTTTGAATAGACGAACTGAACCCGCACAGTATCCTTACGTAATTGTTTTTCTCTCGTCTCTATTTCCCGCATATAGCGTCTGACGCTCAAATACATCGTCCACATAAAATTAATTGTATATTGGGTTGGAGTTCCAATTTCAAACCGTCTAAGCATCGACTACACATTATACGCATTTTTGATTTTCCGACGTTGGCCTGTACAAAACTACTAAAATATAATATATTTAATATACCTGCAACGCGTATATTCATGCATATTTATTGTGAGCTACGTTGAGTTTCCTATTCGGCTGGATAATAATAAATTATTATAGTGTGTATTATTTGTTTTGTCAACAAAGAATAAACATCTTTAACCGGATTCTGCATGAACTCGCTTTGCCGTAAATGTCGATATTATTTTCGTCGTTTTCGTGGTTCTCTGATTGGACAATTTCAAACATGATCTATATAATGTTCAATGTGTGTTTTGAAAACTCCAATCACCATTCACCGCATATATGGCGGTGCATAACATTTTTTGGACATTTTTGCTATCGCACACATAAAGTGGTCACGAGAAATATATATGTATAGCGGTGGCACGACAAAAATAGGACTACAATAAAAATAATAGCCGAGCTGGTAATATATATTTATACGGTGCGTTCACGTTTTTCCTACCTATTATTCTATATAGTGTATAAGTGGGGTGAAAATACTACACATACTATAATACTTATGTTGGCAAATCCAAAAGTAAGATATATAAGTTGATATTATATGATATGTTTCCTAATAAAACAAGAATAAAATCATTAAGATATCCAACTACTAAATTTCATAATTTTTGACATTCAGTTAACATATATTTCCGACTTCACATTCCTGAACAAGTTTTGTGCCTCTATATGGAGTAATGAGTTTATACCTACTTATATTGTGATTTTCACAAAATAATACGTTATCAATCCCAGTCATTTATAAATTATTTGATAGAACTTAAACGTTTAAATTCCACTTACTTTTATATTTTCATAAAATATTATATAAATAAATATAATAAATAAATAAATATTTTTGCTGTGAATGTAAAATAATACATTTATTGAGCCTGTGTACATTCAGTTTTAGATTCTGTCTGGAGTGATAAATTTATTGAGTTTACAGTAATAATGTGTGTTATTTATTTTTTTTGTGTCTGTGTCACGATAAGTAGTTGATATAATGCTTTGATTTTCCACTTCTGTACCTTTACCGGTGGTAAAGTGAATGTAGTTGACGCATTTGGGACGTCAAAATTTAAAATTCCCAGTAGCTTTCAAAATCGAGGAGAAAAACAAAAGAAAAAAATAAAGAAAAACGGAAATTTTTACAAAAATCTTTGACAAAATCGATTTTGGTTTTTTTCATGTAACTCTAATACAAATAACCCTACGGTGTGAAGTTTCAGTGGAATTTTCAATAAATATAAATATTAGCATTTTTTATACACCATAAAGTTTTCAAAATATTTTTGCAAGAGTTGGGCTATTCATAAACATTTACAATTTTCGATTTTTACTAGTTTTTTTAAGACTAATGTCGATAAAAAATGTTCACTCAGTCAAACATTTTAAAATGTAACACAAAATTCTTCACAAGTTGATGTAGGTAAGCAGAATTTAAAAAAAAAGTTGAGTGTAAATCTCAGCAATCTTTTTTACAAGGGTCTGAAGTATAAATGTTGACAAAATTCATAATAATCACGAACAGTTGCAAATGATTTTGAGGTAAAAATACATAAAAAAATTACTTTTTCACCTAAAATTTGTAAATTTAATATAATATTCCTCAACTTTATCAAAAAAAAAATTTCTACCAAAAGTCAAATCAAATTTATATGATAGTTTGAAATATTGATATTTTTACTACATTGGATATTCACTTGATTTCTCATGCGCTGATTTTCTTATTTTGATGTAATTAAAAAATGTATTACTGTAGGCACTTGAAATTTACATTCCATGTTTATTTTATCATATTCTATAACTGATAACATTTTTAAATGATTTTGACTCGTTTTAAAACGTATTTATGGACATTTTCAGTTTTCAGGTTTTTTAGTTTTTTTTACTATACATAAATGTCAATAAAATATTTTCGTTAGGTCAAGGAGTTTTAAGCTTGAATACAAAGCTTCTGATATATTGTTACATTAGAAGTTAAAAAATAATAAAAATACATAAAAACGATTGTTGTTTATAAAAATCTACCATTTTAAAATAAATTTGCATGTAAGTTGTTAATTTTGTCACCAAAAATTTAAAAAATATGTAAACACAGTTTTCTTTTATAGTTATTTTAAGTTCCAATTCAGACTAAATTATATACATATCAAACCAAAAATAACAATTTTTATTACTTTATTGTAATTTAAAAATATTATTTGTGGATACTTGAAACTTTTAGGGGATAGGTAGGTATATTATCTTATTTTATTTAAACAATTACATTTTCAAATGCAATTTGACAAAAATGAATTTAACCTACTATAGTACTAACTTAGTACTAATATTTAAATAGTAAAATAAATTACTTTAATCTCAATAATATAATAAAATATAAATACTTAATAATATTATAGGTCGAGAGACCATCTTCACTTCCTCACTTTTTGTGTTCAATGATTTTATACCATTGAAGTCAAATTTAACACATCCATTACAGTGACTCCCTAGACGCCTATAATGTACAACAGATCGTTACCCACTTACCCGTTTTTTTTATTTATTCATTTTAGTTTAATACTATGTGAGTTCAGGCAATATTTTTTTTAGGAATGCGTAATTTTTGAGAGAGCACAATCACTCTACTACTCCAGCCTAATTAGTTGAGCTTATATCCATAATGTATATTCATATCGTTTATTATTTTATTGACTATCTGCCGATTTTAGTTAAGCTTTATAACAAATAATAATTTGAATATAACATTAATATAGTACACATACACAGCTATCTTTAGGTATCTGGCTTTAATTTAATTAATTACTTTACCGTTTTAAAAACTAAAAACGAAATAATATGTTAAATAATATAAATACACCATTATATTATAAATAATATCTCGGACAATAGCAACGCGATTTGTTTATTTAAATTAAAGTTTTAAAAATGAATTTTTTTTACTAACTTGTCGTCCGATCAAAGGAAAACCGGATAAACTCCAGGAGAAACGTTGATGGACCATCGGGGAATGCCCTGGAACTGGAGTAGCGACTAACGAGACGTATTGCACCAAGGGCAACGATAGGACTATAGAGGCGGGATGACGGGCCGGGATGCCATGTGACTGATGCTGGTGAACCTTTGCGATGACCTGGCGATGTTCTCGTTGGGCCAGTGACTTGGCGCAGTGTACTACAACAATATGCGCCTGAACGTGAATCAGCCGGCTGAGCAGGAGGATGCGAGACAAACATAAAATGCGGCATGCAGTGGCACTAGCAGTAGCCTCTGACAAAGGATCAGCATCAGCAGGACGAGATTGAAGATCAGCCACGGCCGGAGGACCATGCAATGAAAATGCTGCCGCGTCCGAGGGAAACCGCCAATGTACGTTCTGTGGTTGGGAAAGTGGCCAGGCAAATCGGACGAGAAAGCCAGGTTTGCAGATCGAGGTTAGTGTCCCAGTGGGTGTCAGAACCGCGAAGATGGTGGCATGATCGAGGAGGAACTAATGGAAGTTACGACGGTGAAACTGAAGAGGGTTAAGAAGCAATTTGGACGATCCAAAGAAAGTGGCAGTTCAATTTGAAGCGCGACAACAAATGTAACAATCGTATAACACGATATATAGTACCGAATAGAATACCATTATAAGTAAGTTATGAGTATTCAGTATTGGAAATTAAGAGTGTTACAATATATAGACCATTATATAGACCATATAACAATATGCAATTATTGATATTAATCATTAATTTTGTTTCATATTTTCAGCATACAAATCTAACCGACAATTAGTTTCCAATATGCTAGCAGGAATTCATGATGCTGTATCGCGCTTCTTGGAACTGCCACCTCCATACTCCTTACCCTTCCATCAGTTTCACTTTCACAGTCACCAAGTTTCTCCAGTCACCGTCTCCGGGTACGACGCACAAGGCACACCTCGGTCTGCAGCAAATAGCTTTTTAGTCCTAACCGCTCGGCTGACCACACAGAATGAACACTGGTCGGTTTCCAGGACATGGGCGGCATTTCCTGTGATTTTGGTCCTTCGGTTGAGGCTGATTTTCAGACTCGTCTATAGCTGCTCCTGCTCCTTCTCCTGTGGCTGCTGCTGCTTGCCATAATCGCCATCGAATATCACATCCTCTTGCTCCGTCGAGAGTACTGCCGACTGAGCCGTAAGTTGTAGTGCACTGCCCAACGAGAACCGACCTACAGGCTCAGTCATCGCCGAGACGTCCTGGTTCGACAGTCGCCACAAATCCCATATTGTTGTCTTTGGTGCAATATGTCTGTAGGACGGCAATAATGGGCATTCCCAGTTTCTCCTCTCAAATATTTGTCCGGTTTCATTCAGTGATCGTGGCTAAAAGTCAAACCTTAAAAGTTAAAAGTTAAACAATTAAAATGTTAACAAAAAAAAATTGTATATATATATTATATATATTGATCACACAATGTTTTTACCGTTCAAAACTTATAACAATACAAAATTACAAATGTTAATACAAAAACTTGTACCTATATATTAATATTGATTGTATTATTTTTTTTTTTTTTGTTCATAACTTAGAATAATATACCTATAACTATAATAACTAAAATACAACGACACACCGTTAATAATTATAATTTGTACACAATACAATAATACAAACAAAATAAACAATAATCAATGGTTACTTATCAGTTTAACGTTTGCCATTTAATGTTTTTGTTTTTTATTTGTTTATTTAAATAAGTAAATACTTCCTATTTTATACTCAAATCGTACATACAATTAGTATTTAGTATTAGTATTATAAAATTACATTTTGTAATATTTCGGAACCAATGTTTTAATAAATTTCAATGTTAATACTTTGAAATTTTAGTTATAGGCGCCTAACGAATACCCAACTACAAATTTAGATTGTTAAATCTACATTCTACGAGCACGATTCAAATTTATCATGACATTGTTGGACGAAGGCATCAACGCCATCGCCTGTCTTAAATTATAACTCGTGAAAAGCGTAAGACTGAAAAGTGAAAAGTGTATTATTTTTTTTGATTTAAGAAATGAAAAATTGTGTGTATCTTTAATAAAAAAAAACATATAGTCTTACAAGTATCAAAAATTATGAAAGTCAATTTGAAAAAGGAAATTAATGAAGACACTTAAATGGATTTATGGATCACCAAGCTACTCTGAGCGTTATTCCGGGTAACGGAACTCGACGTAAATTACATTGTAGGAATTTGGCTCACTATACAATAGTACATTGACTTTAAGTCTTTAACCCACTGCTAAGTATACTACAGTCTTCAATCGTACACTGTTTTGCAGCGCTAATATTTAAGAGAACCACCCGTCGAATTCCATTCACCATCATTTTCACATTACAATATTTAACAAGATTTAACCGAGTATAATCACTTATCAATTATGTAGACATTTAATCTTCGCCAAATCAACTAAAATTTTATTTCATAATTTTCGAACGATATAGGTAGTCAGACAATTTTAAACCGTTTACTTTGGTACTAAGACTAACACATAACTCGTCTTATATTTTTTCATCAAAAATTATACAACATGAAAAAAGTTTTCGATTAAATTTTTAACATTACGTTATATAAAATTTAATATTTTAAAAGAAACAGATGATTTTAATTTTGGATTTGCAATGGCTTAATTAAAATGAATTGTATTTTATTATGGAAAACAACCAACAACTTTTTCAATTTACAATAGTACCTACCTAACATTATTGTATCATTAAGTAGAGATACAAATATGATACATAAGATTTTAAGACAAATAGGTCATAAATTATGTTAATAATACTATGAAAAGCAACATTAATCAGTATTGTGTGATTCTCGGGTGAGTGACAATAAAATGTGTCGACCAACTTTCGAGAAAAAAATATATAGGTACATAGGGTTTTAAATGTTTTAATACTTCAATGCTTCATAAAGTTTCCACAAGGGGAAACTTTGAATTTTAAGAGGATATAGTCAAACTCTGAAAGAGTTTACAATATTATACATGCGTGATATGGCTGCAACCTATTGTGTTTTTTTTATCGGTAATTTTGTTGATGAAATAAATCACATATTATTATTTTAAATGAAACACCTTATGCAAGATAGCCATATCTCCACTACATAATTGCTTGGATTAAATTATGTAGGCACCAAATAAATATGTACTCGTGTCAGATTTGCACGTCCTTTGCCATGATACATTTGGATTCAAATATTATATTTTAGATATTTAGTATTTAATGTAAAGGATATGCAATATACTTGTAACATTTTTGCTATTTTTATATAGTAAGTTTTTTTTTTTAAATATAAGCTACCAATATAAAATTATTGCAGCTCAACAATTACAAGTAAATTAACAATAACAAATAGCATAAAGTAAGTTAGACATTGATAAACCATTATTTTTATGGAATTAAATTTTTTTTTGTGGTTTAGAAATTCAATAAATAGCTGAGTGGTATACTTTTATTATTAAAACACCATAAATTTAATGACACGCCACATGCATATAATCAGTGGTTGAATTGGGGGGGGGGGAGAAATACGGTGGGATGGCATCCCTCGACTGTTTATAACTCACATTTTCCATCTCTCCACTTATTTTGAGCCACTTCGACCACACCACATCATTTTAAATTCAATAATACTTTATATATTATTATTTATACTACATACAATTAAAAATATGTATTTTATTATAGGTACTAAAATAAATAAATAGATAGTTATATAACGGTATATTATTTGGTTAATTTAATTAATTTAGTTTTTTTTTTTTATCATGGAGTTATGTGTATTCAAAATTAAGATCTTGTGAACCTTAAAAAGATTAAAAATGTAATTACTATTTACTGCCTTGGCTATTACTACATAATATATTTGACTTGATGATACGCCATTTACCATGCCCTCGAGGATAAATATAGAAACCTCGTTCAAACAAGATATTTCATGCGTGAAAACCATTGAGAAAACTTCCGTTTGTAATATTCAATAAAACCTTATCCCAGAGAAAAGTTAAATACAAAATAAAAAGTACTGAAGTACGTATTCCAAAATATTACGTAGGTATACAATGAATGTTTGTTTTTCCTCTGTTATCATCTTTATAAAAACCAATTATTACGCGATGATATTGCTCTTTTATCGAAGACATAAATATTCGTTTTTCACACTGGAAAGTTGTATCTCGTACCTGTGATATAATTCAAAACGTACGTTATAAATATTATTTTGGATACATTTCATTAGTATTTAGTTATTACTTATTATTAATATCCTGGACCAAGGATTTTTTAGATAAAATATATTTTTAAAACACACACTCGTAGAAACTCATAAATATATTATACACATTTGATAAAACAACAACATTGAAAATATTATGCTAATCTAGAAAAAATAAAAATGTGTATTTTATTGTCTTCGTCCATTAAATAAAATAGTAATATTATCATTTCTTTTCTACTAAAAAGTCATTCCAAAACTTCTGACTAAATTTAACGACATTATCCCTGGTACTGGTGATTGTATACAGGTATAATAAATGTACACTGTATATTTTATATGTATGTATTATATGGCAGTTAATGTTCATATATTTTTTAATCTATTTTTTAAATTGTTTAAACAAACTGCTATTCCTTGTAAAACAATAATTTTTATATTTAAAATAGCTAAACATCTAATTTACCCAAAATGCATACAATGAGAAATTATAATTTTATGATCTAACTTCATTATACAAATCATAATATTAAATATTATATACACACACTAAGGAGATTAATTAATTAATTTGTAAATTAGTTTAATTTGTCTTTGTACCTATAATGTATTTATAAACAACTGAAGATGTTATATTATTCTATAATTATTATACCCACAGATGTATTTCTTCGCAGTATTTAATAATATTACAACACTGATATGAGTATATGACTATATTATCAAGATATTATATTATTTAAACACAAAATGAATTAAAAACAGAACCAAAAATCAATGAATATATGTCATCAGCTATAGGCACTTTTAAATTAATTTCACATAATATATTAGTTAAGTGATACTATTATAGTATTACATTTTTTAGATGCAAACTTTTCGGTGAGATGCGAGATTTCATCTCTTATTCATAAACACGAATTTAACAATAATTATACCTAAAATATAATATGATGTTGAAAATATGTATTCCAAAGAAACACGACGAATACAAACGGCGAATGGTCATCGATATTTTTTTAGCAAATGTTCAGAAATCGGTTCGTCCGGGTAAATAATATAGTATTATGATGATTAAACTGAAGCTAAATAGTAGGTAACTTGATTGTTTTAATGTTTTAATGTGTAATGCAGCCTGAAGTATAATCGGATACACCGTTCCCGTTGTGGCGTACCCTTTAAAATTAATCTGTTTACCGTGTACCCAACTTCGGAAAATTATATATACCACGTAGTTCACGTAAAATACTCCTAGGGGAGTATCGTTATAATTTTACCGAGGCTTTGCATCATAACAAACCCTTAACACCCGAGAAACCCTTAAAAATCATACATTCAAAAACCAATTCTGCCCAAACGGCCCGTAACGTTCGAACTAACCATATAATCTAAATAAAATATCAGTTACGTACTCTAAAATTACACCGATTTATATTTTTGGTAAATAGTTTGTTTCGCGAATTGCCAGATCCGGCAGCTTAAAATCGTCGGTTTTGACCTTTATAATAATTAATGTACCTAAATAATCTGGATTAAAAATGTTAAAAGTACTATTCGAATAAATCGAATATGTTTTCTTCTAGGTATTTTTAATTCAATTTTCTTCCTAGGTTATTGGTGTTTGGAAGGTGTGAAATCTATCGTGAATCGAGTATCAGTGTTAAAAAAAAAAAAAACGAAAAACAAAAATCAATAACTATTTATGTATAATTAATGAGTACTTAAATTAAGTTGTAAAAACTCTATATTTACTCTTTGACAGTAAAATAAACAACCTTTTAATTTGAAAATGTTGTATTCCAATAAATCAATTAAACAATTAGAATTGGTTTTACATTGATGTTAGTAGGTATCCTATTCCCATAAGTAATTCTTCGTATTTCCCAGTACATTCTCCAAATGTAATGAACTCAGAATTCAATTACCAAATAATTTGTAAATAAACGATTAATAAATTATGAATGTATAGGTACTCATTATTATAGCATCAGCATTGGTCATTATGTTTGTACCTTATTCTAAAAAAATATTACAGGGAACAAAAAATCTCACTAATTATTAAACTCAATAGAAATTAGAAACCGAGGGTTAATGGCTTTAAAGAACAAAATGTTTTTTGTTTATTTGCCTGGGTTACAGCAGTCGTCAGAGGGTGAAAGGGTCTCTACAGTGTTGCTGTGCTCTGTAACTCTAGTTTTGAAAATAGGT